AAGGAAGAATATGTGCAGTTTTAAACTAAAGTGCTCCAAGAGCAATCTTTTCCTTAGAAAACAATATGTTAGATTTAGAAGTTTAACACTAAAATATTTATAAGATTCTTAATTATGCATTTATCTGCTTTTAGAATACAAATAGCATTATCTTAAATGCACTCTCAGATAACACCAAAGAAATTCAGAGTTTAATCAAATGATTTACTTCCTTCCTATCATAAGGCAAATTTAGCAATACTTACTAAAGCACAGGTGTGAGCTCCATTACAATACCATCAACCCTCCAAACCTGTTTGAACCTCAACATGGTTTCAACCTTAAAATTAGCAGCTTGTCTTAATAACTAAAACCGAAACCCATTTTAGCTCAAATGTTCTACTTCCTCTCCTGATCAAACTACTAACAGCAATTATAAGAATCGGCAAAATTCACTCTCCTTAGTTCTATGTGAACTCTTGATAAAAACCGCTGCTACCAGGAACCTGACTACCAATTCAGAACTGGCCAAAAATGCAATGAGGCCTTTATCATCCAGCAACCACAGATAACCAAAGCTGTTAGGTATCCTCCCACCTTCTTAAAAGTCTCTCTGTGGACCTGGGAAACAACAAAGGAAAACTTAAAGCTACAGAGTAAAAACAGATAAGAGTAGAGCAGGTGATCAGCACCAGCCACTGAACTACTACTTCAAGAAATGTCTCAACACTTCTGTCTTTCAAAAAAGATACAAGGTTTTATAGCTCTCATAAAAAGCAACAGTTGACTGATATTAAAAACAACAACAAAAGTGGTCATTTTCAATGTTCTGTCCATAGTCCAAATATCCCATAATGCTAATTAATGAGTAACAGAAAATACCCTTTCAATAAACAGTCATTACATCTTTGTGACTAAAGTGTTTGTTCAAGCCCTGAACAGTGTTGATCTGGGAACAATACATTCAAATCAATTAAAATAATAAAATGAAACCTCACACCAAAGGCAGTCACCAGCATCTAGCACAGTTGGTTCATAGAAGTTTAGGTCTCAGAGTCCCACAAGACTGTTGGACTCAAGAGGGAAACCGCAAAGGGATTTAAAGTTCTGAATTCCTAACTGCTACCTCTGTCAAAGTTCCATCACTTTCCRAAAGCTCTCAAGCCTTGTATCACCTAAAAGGAGACAAATGATCAGACACAAATCTGATCAACTCAGGGCAACAAGTGCTACCATTTATAAATACAGTGCACTGGAAAGAGGGGAGAAAATCATATTTTTCCTATATGTCATTTATATTTACAGATTTGTGAAAACAACAAAGAAAAAAAACTGAGGATCAAGGTCCTAATTATACTTATTGTCATAGGTCAACTTTTTTAAAAAAGTTATTTATTTTTTTAGTTTTTAGGTGGATACAATACCTTTATGTGGTGTTGGGGATCAAACCCAGCGCCCCACGCATGCCAGGCGAGCATGCTACTGCTTGAGTCACATCCCCAGCCATAGGTCAACTTTTATTAAGGTCTATTGTGTTGGACTCAAAAAATACTAGTGTTATATAGCACTGAAGCACTTTTTAAAATGTGTATTATAATGCCATTATGGAAGTTAAAGGGAATAAAAGGCATAAACGTCCCTACCTTCTAAGGACTTGTAATCAAATACTTATGGAAACTAGAGTGTTCCATACTTGATAAATATTATAAGGTTTGAACTTGATTTTCACATTTTCCACCAGAATCTCAACTTCTGTAGAGACTTACAGAAGCTAACATTAATCTCGATAGTCATATGATATTCCTGTTATTTAAAAATTGATTATTTGTGATACAAAAACCTAACTTATTATTTTAATTCTCCAGATCCAAACATAAGACATTAATAAGACTTGTTATTACTCATGCTGAAGATAGTAAGCAACTTATGAAATCTTCCTGGAAGAATGATGAAGACTTTCAGAGAGACCTTAACAATGTTTCCTCTTTTCATCTGTTCAAATTATTACAACTGACCATAAAACATTTTCAGGGGATTACTGTTCTGGCCAGCCTCTGATCCAGAGTGGAATTTTTACTATTAATCTTGAAACACCCACACAAGCTAAAAGAATAAGCCACCTGTTGCTGCCAGCCTTCAAAGGAATTCTCCCTGGAAGCACAAGGGGAAAGCCTTCCAAAGAATTGGAACAGGCAGTTCCCAAGATGAAAGTGGAATACTCTGAGTGGGCCCATTCCTTCCCTAGAAGTCTGGTCAAGTGGTAGAAAACACAAAGTCAGGGAAGGAGGGAAAAAGAACAAAGGCCCAAAATACAGCAAAGAGATTTCTCTCAATTTTGGATGGTCTTTAAGTAAAAATACCTTGCTTACAAAATGGAATTTATACCTTACTGAATGTTCCATATCAACTGAAAGAAAACTAAATGGACAATACAGAGAAAACTCATACTTTCTAGATACATTATTCTACTAGACACCAAAAATGACATGCAATGGCAGACTACCTTGGTTCTACTAAAATTCAGGAATTCAGTATGCAAACTCATCAGAGAAATATACAGCAACCCACTTTCGCTGTGTTTGGTGTTATTATCAATTAAGAGCAACATACAGAGATCATGAAAAAATTAAAGAATCAATTCACATGCTGTATGCTATGCTGCATAATGATTTTCACTACACTGTTTAGTTGTGAAATAAGCAGGGAGATTCTGGGAAGATAGAAATCTCAAGCACTAAATGTATCAGGAAAAGAACCACATTCATTATGGCTTTACAATAAAAGTTCCTTTAGAAAAGAAAAAAAAAAAGGCATAAGCTAAGATTCCACAGAGCAACATGCCACTCCACTAGGTCTTTCCACAARCAAGCAGAGGCCTAAACTATAGGCAAAGGATTCTCAAATGTCAGGACAGCAGAGTGGCCAAGAGGCTACACTCCAAAAGCTGCCTGTTCAAATCCTAGCTTTTAGCTGTGTGACTCTGGGCAAGATAATCTCTTCTGTGCCTTCTTTTCCACACCTACTAGGTGGTGGTTGTACCAATCAAGTTTATTATGAAATATGCACAGGCTAATGTCAGATAGAAAAAAGTGAAGCTCATAAAGTCTACCTACTTGGGGATTCAGTGGCCTGCCAACACTCAACCAACAAAGAGTACCTTCCTCCTACAGTGAAAATTCAACAGTAAAAACTTGAGAAAGACAACCTTAACTACAAAAAACACCTTCCAAACCCTCCCCCTCTTACCCACAAAACACTACACACACACTCTGCCCTTCTGTTCTAGCAGCCACTATCCCTTTCCACCAAATGCTTTAACTTTAAGCAGAACCTAAGCCCATTACTGAGCACTAGAGATAAATATTAAAATACTGGAATTAACTTTGCTTAAGATTTCCTAGTAAATGAATGAGTCAATCATTCTTTAGAAACAAAGTAAAATGTCAAAGTTGCCAGAGAACCCCAATGCAAATGTTTGCATAAATCGTTTTCAAGTGATTACCAAGCCAAAAGTCAATGTACATTACTCAAGACAACACTTTAAGTAAATCAGTTTTTATGTTTTTTTCCTGTAATGGAGAAAATTCTGAAAATAAGGGTACGAACACAGTTTAACCCCAAAATTACACAACATGTCAAACAAAGCTTAGAACTCCTTTTTCTCTCTGGCTTCAGAGGGTTTACTTTTTGTCACACTGTTTTCTCCAACCTTATCAACAAGCACTGGGTAAACTGTAAACTCGAAAGTTAAAATCATCCCACAGTGTTTGTTAAATATTTTCTCTATCATACAATCTAGGGGAAACGGAAGCTTGTAAAAATTCCAAACATCTGCCTACGGGATATTTAATGTGGCTCACCTGCAAAATATTTTGAGTGCTCTGAAAAGATGACAGAATCCATAAGAGAGTCTTTTCTCACCTTCACAATAATTCAAGTAAAGTTTGTATATTAATTTCAATGAAATCCAGGCCATTTGCCCTAGCATGTCAGAAGAAAGGGCAAGGATACTTTTGGTCATTTAAGCTGTCTCTCTCTCTCTCTCTCTCTCTCACACACACACACGTACACACACACACACACACAAAAAAAAAAACTAAAACACGCACTCGCGGCCTAAATTTCTCTGTGCCTAAGGAGTCAAGTAGTTTCTAGATTAGCCTGTCAGCATGAGTTCTTCAGATTCATTCATTACAGGTCACACAATATTTACTTGTACTGAAACTTCCTAAGTGTTACAGGTCATTGGAAAAGAGCGACAAACTGAACTTTCAATGTCGTAGGGTACCCTTCCAAATAGAACGGGTTGCGTCGTTTTACTTATTTTTGGTAAATTTACATAAAACACTTTAGTCGTGTCGTTTTTCCTAACTCATTTGCCAATCTGACCACCGGGAGCAGGACTGAGCGCCCCACAGCTTCCGGCTGGAGTATAACACACGCTTCCTCACTGGGCTCCCCACGTCTGCTCAAAACCAACCCTATGTAACAGCTGAAGAATGACGACACTAAMCTCTACCCTGCGATCCACATGAAGAGGGCTACAAAATGAAATAAACTTTTGTCTCTTAAGCGACCATGAAGGAATTTTTTTTTTTTTTTTAAAGGCCAAGTGTGGTTTGTTTGATCAATTTCCACGACTGGTGCGCTCAGGGGTCTGGGCTGGCGCGGGCGGCTTAACCCTGGGTGATCCCAGGGGCTATCACAGCGATGCTGCTGCTGAAGGGGTGCCTCTCGGTACACCGGTGGCCCCAACCAGCAGGTGCCCAGGCCGGGGTGCGAGGGCCAGAACATGCCCACTTCCCTCGAGCGCTATACTGCCACCGCACGCCGCCAGACACTTTGTTAACTCAGCGTGCCTGGGAGGAGGAGGTTCCCGGGTCGTGGTCACCGCGGTCCAAGCTTCAGAGCCCTGGCTGAAGGAGGCTCGGCCTCACCCTGCCCTGGCGCTGAGCAGCCAGTAACCACAGGCCCTCAGCTTACCCACTTAGAGCCAAGCGTCGCGGCTGCCTGGTGCTTACCTGCGGATAGGAGCCCTCGCGGCGCGGGCTGCTAGGGTAGTCTAAGTGACCCCTGTCCAGCATCAGGTAGAGCGAGAAGATGACCACACAAAAGATTGCGCTGCCGAACACGGTGAACTGGCGGCTTAACTTCATTTTCCTCATAGACTCAGGACCCGGACACCGTCCTCACTCGGAGAAGGTGGAGGGCTGTGGACTCTAGAAAAGGCCGCCGGAGGCTCCCTGCTCYCAGGTTGCGCGCTCTCGGGTACTGGTGTGGATCCGGACAGCCCTCCGCACCTCGTCTCCGGCGCCACCAAGCGCCCTGGGCCTTCGCCCTGGCCCACTGCCCTCCCYGGGGCAGGCGTTCCCCTCGAGGCGGAACTCGCCTACAGTGGGGAAGGGGCTCCCACAAACTTAATCTCCAGCTCAGCGCCGACACCCGGCAGGGCGCGCCTAGCAGGCGGAGAGAGGTCGTTGTCCGGACTTCCTGCCACCACCGCCCCAACTGAGTCGGCAGGAAAAGTTTTCTCGACGAGGGCAGGCGTGTCCTCCTCACCCAGAAAACGCGCGGGTTCCGCGGCTCCGAGGCCGGCCGCGCACAGCCAGGTCCGAAGAGACCAGAGAAAAGGAACTAGATCGGGAGGAGCCGAGCCACACAACTTAGCTCCGGGACGGCCGGACCCGCCCCCGCGGCACCGCCCCCGCCTCCCCCGACCGAGCCCCTTCCTACTGCTGCCTCTGCCGCCGCTGCCACCGCTGCCACCGCTGCCGGGGCCGGACCGGGGTGCACCCTGGATRCCGGGGCTTAGGGATCGGACAGGAGTTTCCTCAGGGTGCGCGTCCGCTCACCGGCCTCTCCCGCCCCGCGCCCCTACCTCCCCGCTCCCGGACCCGGGCTGCACTGGGAGGGTGCAGGGGACGGGCGGCGGCGGCGCGGGGAGGAGGAAAAGGAGAGCAAGCAGGAGAGGACCGTCCCCGGAGAGAAGCCCGCTCCAGCTGCAGCCGTGAAACACCCCTTCCTTCCCGCCCCCAAACGCGGAGATGGCGGCGGCAGCAGCGTGAGGAAGCACCGGTTTTCCAGTGCCACTGGGCGCTCGAGCACCGCCAGCYACAAGCAGAAGACCGCGGCGGCGCGGCAGCGGCTGGGTCAATAGGCGCCCGCAGCCCCGAGCAGAGCGGGCGGCTAGCCCCGCCCCCTCCCGACKCGCCGGGATGAGGGGGCGGGCCCCCCGGCGCCCAATCACGGCGCGCCGCCCGCCGGGCCCGCCCAGGCAGTAGGAAGACCTCAGGAGGCTTCTATGACCTGGGAGGCGGATTTGCAGGAGTTAAGGGTAGCAATAAGCTGCATTTGGGTTTGCTCCAGCAGACCTTGTTCCACAGGGTATAGCCTTACTCCCAGTGCCTCTTTTGCTGCTCAGGTTTTCTGTGCTGGAACACCCAGATTCAGCACGACTTAGAAGGGTATTCCATGAAGGACTSTAAGAAAAGAAGAAATCTCAAAATTCTGTTTGACTTATCTTTTCCTCCTTTGTTTTTGGTGTCATCCTTGTGAAACCTGGGAGAAAAGGGCATGCCAAAGGCCCTTCCAGACAGAAGTAGGCATCTGCCAACKAAATCTATAAGAACAATCTGAGAAGTGATGCTTGTGCCGATTATTGATTTTTTGCCTTTCGGCTTCAAATTCACCCTTTTTTACTGCACTGAGAAAATGGATCTGGGCCTTTTAAACAGGTTTTTCTTTGCCTTCTGGGACTGAAGCTTTGTCAGTAGAGGGCGCTGAAGAGATATTACAGGAAGAAAAGAACTCTGCTTCCTGATTTTGGTGAATTGGTAGACAGGTTCTTGCAGCATACCTAGGTTTCTTCAGCTCTGAACTCCTGTATGGCTTGGTGGCCAGAACAGTTTTATAGTGTGAGACACTACTTCATAAACAGCTTCCCTGGCACCMGGGAGGAAATTTGCATCAAGTTCCAGAAGGCATATTTTCAACAAGTTTTGCAGACTTAGCACCATAGAGACTTCTCTACTATTCAATTAGCCAGCCTTTGACTCTCCAAATAAAGTCTAGATCTTAGTTGTAGGAGGGACAGGGGATCTTCCTTAGCCCCTCTATCACTCAGCCCAAGGATTAGTTATGAGGTTAGCTYCCTGGTAGCTACTTATGTCTATATTTTCTAGGTTTCTTTTTTTTTATATGTGAATACATATTTTTAGTTGTAGATGGACATAATGCCTTTATTTTATCTTTGTGTGGTGCTGAGGATGGAACCCAGTGCCTTCCACAAGCAAGGCAAGCACTCTACAMCTGAGCCACAATCCCAGCCCCTCTCTAAGGCTCTTTTTACTAGTGAATCCCTCATTACTCAAATCTCCTATTATACTTAATAATTATTTTTATCAAGACTTTCCTGTCTAGGAAATAGGCCACATGAGATAGACCTGCAAAGATGAACTTGAGCTCCTTGCCAAAGAGAGGTGGAATCTAGTCATTCATGGCATGCAGAGCATCTCAATTAAGTAATCACCTATGGTTTATTCTGATGAAGTGCCAACTAAAGCAAGAAGCTTGGGGACCAAGTACCAGCTACATTTGACAGCTGGGGCTATAAAGGTGATTATCAGGACTATGGTACAGAAAGATTCTTTTGAGTGCTTCTGAGTACTTATAWACAGAAATGACAAGCACAGATGCATTATTAACACTTGGAGTTATGGTATAAGAACCAAAAAGATTTTATAAAAATTCTGAAATATGGGGCTGGGGATGTGGCTCAAGCGGTAGCGTGCACACCTGGCATGTGCGGGGCACTGGGTTCGATYCTCAGCACCACATAAAAATAAAATAAAGATGTTWTGTCCACTGAAAACTGAAAAATAAATATTAAAAAGTTCTCTCTCTTCTCTCTCTCTCTTTAAAAAATTCTGAAATAATCTCTTACTTATTGTAACAATGAGAATAATATTGCTGAAAATAAAACACAAGATTTTAATTTTCAGGTTTATGAGTTATAATTACTRTTGAATTCACAAGCATGACAAGTTTCTCTATAAAAGTTAAGATATTAGTTGGTAAATAATAGGATCCAAAGATTGGAATGAGTTGGATGCAAATGAAACTGACAATCTGATATCCATCCACCCAAGTCACTCAGCCTCTCCTACCAATAGAAGTAGATTGCCCTCCAGTGTCTGAGGAGACTAGTATTCCTCTGCTTGAAAATGTGATAATTCCCACATGTATTTCTCTAAAATATTCATCTTTTCCATTAAAGCCATCAGAAACATCTTGCCTTGAGAGGGAATTCTCATTCTCCTCAAAACCCAACACAGGGCTGGGGATGTGGCTCAAGCGGTAGCGTGCACACCTGGCATGTGCGGGGCGCTGGGTTCGATCCTCAGCACCACATAAAAATAAAATAAAGATGTTGTGTCCACCTAAAACTGAAAAATAAATATTAAAAAAATTCTCTCTCTCTCTCTCTCTCTCTCTCTCTCTCCCACAATCACCCTCTAAAGCCATAATACTCTGGTATTATGGTCAGTTCTCAACATGCTCCTGGGGAATAAATTCACGCTTTTATGTGGGGAGAGATAATTTATACACCAGAATAACTATAATACTTTGCTAATATTTATTGGCAGAAACTTGGAGAGCATATTAAGAATTGGATTCTAGGGGTGTCAGATCACAGAGGATGGAATATAATACTAAATTGAACCAAATTTATTATGTGAAGTTAGCTGATGCAGCTAGGGGTGGCTCTAACAACTTGATTGGTGAAAATGTGGATTCAGTGGTGACAGACAACTTATGAGACTGAGATGCCAGAACTTGATGACATGAAATAGAACAAGGAATCCAGTGGTTTAGGAAAATAAAGACATCTACTGGATTTATTATATGTAACTTGCACATCCATTCCCCAGATGTGATCCATGCAAAGACCCAAAAGACATGCCCTTCACTGAAGCATTGAAACATATATTAGTGAGGAGAACACCTGCATCTTTGAAAATCTCTTTGGATGCTTCCCTCCATAGGTCAAGTATGACTATAGAAAGTACCTGTCGAGATTAGCTCCCTGGTTTCAAACGGGGATGACAGRATCCAAGGACATCACAGGACTTGAAGCATTTAATTAACAAAGACAATTGGTCACATCTACCTTAAAAGAGAGCAGGCAATCAGACTTCATTGGCACACAGAGATGTACTGGGAACAAAATAGATAGGAAACATAAGGTATTGCTTAATATTTCTAACAGGTAAAGCACTAGGTCAGGTAGCCAAAATCTGACTTGAATTGCTATAATGGACGGTCACAGCCTCTCATGCAGTTTTCAGACCTAAATCAATTCACAAACCCAGAATCCTTTGTTTGAGTCTGTATCCCCTTTAGGAAGGACCTTGCTCCGTTGCCACCATACACACAATATAACATAACATGAGGCTTTCCCCAAAAGACATGTGGTTATTTACTAGAATGACTGTACATTGGTGAAAAGGATATATACAGATCTTTTCAGGTTCGTCAGATATGCTCTCGATCAGTTCTAATTCCTGGGCACACAGACACAAAATAAAATCACTATGACCCTCCAACCGAAGTTGAAGTTTATCTTTCTCAGGTGATGGGTGAAGTTTTAGCTCATGCCCAACTCATAGTTGGTTCTGGTTAGTTCAGCTGGCCAGCACACCAACTGTGTGGTTACTTTTTCAAGTCTTGAATGCATAATTAGAATAGACATACACAGCTACAGACAGAATTCCCCCATTGGTTTGCTTACTCGTGGAATGAGGGTCTTTATAGTAGGAAGAGCTAAGTGAAAGCTCCTGAAGTTCACTCTCRCTGGGAAGATTGTGGGGATTAATGCCAACACATACCGAAAAAAGAAAGAAAGAAAAAAAAAAAAAGAACAGGAGAAGTGATGCCTATCATATTCCCATTCAACTCACCAGTTTGGCCAGTAAAGAATTGATTTAGGAGAATGATGTAGATTTTTATAAACTTAATCAGGAGGTGATTTCAATTACAGCAGCTGTCCCACATATAGTGTCTCTTTTGAAACAAATCAACACAGCACCTGGCATTAGGTGTACAGCTATTGATTTGCTTAATACCAATTTCTCTATACCTATTTGTAAAAACCACCAGAAGAAGTTTTACCTGGCAGAGCCAAAAGTATGCCTTCATAGTGTTGTCTTAGGTGTATAGTATTCTCCTTAATATARTACACCGAGATATTGGTCATCTTAACATTCCATAAAATATCATTCTTGTTCACTACATTGACAACATTATGCTGATTGGATCTAATGAGCAGAGAAAAGGCAAGTAGCTTACATGGCTTAGTAATATATATTTAAACTAGAGAGAAGAACATGATGATCAGAAAGGAGTATGTATGAGGTGACAATTCTAAAATGCTCATCTGAGGCATAGGATATGTTCTAAGATGGTACAAACTATACAGGAAGAAACCACTGAGTCACTGTGACATGATTCACAACAGATGGTGTAAGTTAGAAATGGTGAACAAAATAATAGGAAACATAGGGTATTGCTTAATATTTCTAACAGGTAAAGCACTAGGTCAGGTAGCCAAAATCTGACTTGAATTGCTATAATGTACCGTCACAGCCTCTCATGCAGT